TAAAGAAATGTCAAACTTTACTATAATTTTTTATCATTTTTTATCATCATTTTAATATTTTTGTATTATTGATTTATTTATTAAAAGAAAAATAAAGCATAAAAATACAAAAAATCACAAATAAGAAATGAAAAAAATCTACAATTACTTTAATTAAAAAAAAAGACGTTCGTGGCACATGCTATAAGGAAAGTAGCAGCATAAGTGTTGGGTGCATGAAAGAATTTACTCTATTATTTTTGCTTATCAAAGGAATTCTTCTTTTTCTTCGGTTACTTCTTAAAATAGCCTATCAAAATAGCTTTCTATACTATTTCAAGAAGAATTCTTCTTTTCCTTATCAAAATAATTTTCTTTTTAAAAAATAGATAATCTTGCTCTATCCTTCCTCTAAAATCATAAATTTTGTTTATTTGTTTGAGCGCATATATATATATATAATTTTTCTTTCAATAAGAAAACTTCATATCATGCACAAAAAATTTTTTTTTTCTTTCAATAAGAAAATTTTATCTTATACATGAATTTTTTTTCAATAAAAAAAATTTATGCAGGGGGTAATAAATGAGATATATATATGTAAAAAAAAGCAAATGATTTTGGAAAAAAAAGATAATTTAAAATTATGCAATCAATCAATTATTATACACAATAGTAACATGTTATTGCCTAAAGCATTATTGTCTACGACGTTACAAGCTAAGGCATTACCATCCAAAGTGTTAAAACACAAAGTATCACAGTATAAGGTGTTATTGCACAAAGTGCCATAGCACAACACGTTACAATACAAAACACAAATTCTCCGAAAACCAATGCATAAGAACTTCTTAAATAAGAATTCGTATACAGGGGACAAAATGTTAATAGTTGATTTTGGTTACTATTTATTCTCTTTAAGAATTGTTTTACAACATAGTGTTATACATCAAATAATGAGAACAATTAGAATAAGTGAAGCATTATTTCACGTAAAAGAGCTACAATAAGTGAAACACTACTTCACATAGAATAACCAAAATAAGTGGAGTATTACTCCATGCGGAATAACTAATATAAGTGAAATAACTACTTCACACAAAATAACCATTTCATATGGATGAAAAGCAAAAGCAACCTAGAATAAGTGACAAGATTCATAAGTTACTTTCATCTTTGGATGTTCTCGAGAGTTTGGCTTGATGGCTCAGATATGGATGTAGTTAAGAGATATTCCTCTTAACCTTTTCTCTCAGTACAAGTGTTTTTCTCTCTTACTTTACTGTCATGTATTTATTCATATACACTTTCTTCTCTTGTACCTATTCACATATAACTTTTTTGCTTATACATATTCACATACAGCTTATTCTCTTGTACCTTTTCGCGTATATCTCTTCTTTGTTACCTTTTACTAGAGAAAAAGTCTTATTATACCTAAATATTTCAATGATCACATAATGAGTTTCTAATTGTTACTTGACATTAACTTTCAAGAACGGTTGCCATCGACCCACAGTTATCCTTAAACTCTCGTGCTTGGTGGAGAATAAGCGAACATAGGTACACTTTCTTATTGTCTTGCAACATTAAAGCTCTTCTTAATAATGCCATTCATTACATACATTAAAGCCTTTTCTTGTAACTATCATTTTTTATATTATATATAAAGCTTTTACAATTTAATCAAGTCATCTCTTCCAACGAGAGCTAAGAAATTCTCCTTCAGAGCTTCCTTCACTAATTATTTTTTTTATTTTCTTTTACTTGCCACAACACACAATACTTCAAGCATTGCTCCGATCTTCTTTTACACCTCCTCTGGTCCATCTTTTTAGTTATTTGCAACACTTTCTTTCTCTATCACAAAACCACACTTTATAGTTATTAAATAGTTTACCCCTCTATTCAACTATTTACTTTTGTATGATTCACTACCAATCACTGTGACCATAAAGAAGAGCATCGAACCATTCTCCATTTCAGCACTCGACTTTGTATAATATTGGGTGGAACATTTGCTTTAATAGGTTTGGGATCTATGCTCATTTTGTAAATGATCCAAGTTATTTGTAAGTTGCTTAAAGTTTGAAAATTAGGACAAATTGTAGAATCTAGGTGGTCAAAATTTATTATCATGTGGTGTTGGCTATTATTTAGTACTTTATATTTGTTTAAATATGGGTGTGGCTATGATTTGGACCTTTGAGTACCTTTAACATCAGGTTAAAGCTTTTCTTTTTTGTCACATTTTTGGCTTGCTTTATTTGAAAGGCTTAGAACTTTATATGGAAAACTATTGACACCTTTACTATTTTAATGTATATTCAATTCGCTTTACATTTAAAAAATTTTGATCATTATATAGGGCTTGAGTTCAAACTTAGGGTCTTATACATTTACATATATCCTCCAATTTTTTCAACCCATTGTAAATGTATAAGACCCTAGGTTAAAAGCTTATTCATTCTCTTTTTGCACCCTTTGTTATTAACTAAGGTTCCAAATACGTTTTGCAAAAAAAAAAAAAACTAAGGTTTCAAATACATTTTGTGCTAAGAATTGTCCAAGATGCATTTTTTCACAAAATCCAAGATGTTAATAATTCTCTCTGCTAAAAATTGTCCTTAATGCATTGTTTCACAAGATTTAAGCTGTTAATAATTATCTCTGCAAAGTTCAAAATAAGTTGACTATGTATGGTTATGTAATTGCTATATGAAATAGTAAACTTTTGGCTTTCATGAATATCCATTTGTCAAATTAATTAATAGGGTAAAATACCCCCATCCCTTTAAGTTTTAGTTGTAATTTCAAGTAGATCTATTAGTTTTCGAAATAAACACTTCACCTTAAAAATGCAAACATCGTTAATAGAAATTGAAAAAAGATTAAAATGTCTTTTCTTTCTTTATTAATTTTAAAAATTATTATTATATTTTTAAAAAAATTAAAAAAAAGGGAGCATCAATTTGTGCTCCCTAACTCCCCAAGAAAGGGGAGCATCAATGCTCGATCGAGCTCCTTAGGAGAGCTTTGGTGCTCGCAATCTGGGGAGGTTTTTTTTTTTAATTAATAAAATTATATAATAATAATTTTAAAAATTAATCAAAAGTAAAATTATTTTTTTACTCTTACCACGTCTTCAAATTGACGAAAATATTAACAATTGACTAACGGCTAGAACTAAGTGTCTAACAAAAAATTATTTTTTGGACAGAGTGTCCATTTTGAAAACTAATGGATCTCCATATAATTTTGATCAAAACTTAAAAGGATAAGTGTATTTTACCCAAATTAATATGAAATGGTTACGTAAACTTATTATGCAAAAGTTATCAAATTAGTGCAAAAAAGCCAAAAAAAAAATAAATGTAGCATGTTCAAGAATGTATATGCTTAATATAAGAAGATCGCTTGGCTTTGTTGACTATCCATATGTGAAATTAATTAACAAATAAATGCTTAGAAACAAAGATTTTAAAGTGGAATTGCTAGGTGAAGTGTGACAAGTCATATACATGTGCCTTCAATATTATAAATAATTACAAAGAGTTAGATTTGATATACACCTTTTTGTAATAGTGAACAAAACAAAATACAAGAAAATGCAACCGGAAAAATGTTATTTTCTAATGTTATTTTGTTTTTTTTTTATTTTTTGTGCATTTTTTTAGGTCTTTTGTATGTGCACATCTCATTCTTTTTGGCTTCCTTGCATTTTCTTTATTTTTCTTCTTAAAGATCAAATATGATATGTGAGGTATGGTGCTTTAATTTGTAGTGCTGTTTTTTCCTCCATATTTTTTAAAAACTTGCTTTATATGTATTGCTAAGATAGCCAGTCAAACATAAGAGTTAGACTATTTCTCAACTTCATCAACGTTTTGCTGGCCTAAGTTCCGTATAAAAAAAAATCTTTCTCGTTATTAAGGGAAAGGTTGACCGACAAACAATATCGACAAGCTACGATATGACCTCTTCTTGTCTATCAGAAATTTGGATCAACCTATACAGCACAATTATTGTTAAAACAATACATTTCAAGAAAAAT